TACAATGGTTTATTGTGTGGCATATCAGTGTAAAAGTTATACCGGTTATACCGGCACTGACAAACAAAGAAACGGTCGTGTGTGCCTTCCTAGACATAGAAGGATCTTTTGACAACACGCCACACGAATCTGTAAAAAGAGCACTTGCGTACAGAGGAGTAGATAACATCACATCCAGATGGATGGCTCAGCTGTTATCTACGAGAACTGCAGAGACACAGATAGGGCAGGACACCATCTCCATCTGCACAACCAGAGGATGTCCACAAGGAGGATTCTATCCCCACTAATGTGGATCGTAGACCAACTTCTATGCAGATTGACTGACCTCAACATACCCTGTCAAGGTTATGCCGACGACATAGTCATATTTGCTAGTGGCAAGTTTAGTAATATCCTGTGTGATATAGTCCAACGAAAACTAGAACATACCAAAAGATGGTGCCGTGAAGTGGGACTTAGTATAAACCCTACAAAAACAACACTAGTAGCCTTTTCAAGGAAAAGAAAACTTAATCTCAAAACCGTTAAATTAGACGGGATAGATATAGAATGGAAAAATGAAGTCAAATATCTAGGCCTAACCCTGGACAACAAACTTCTCTGGAACACACATGAGAAGGAAGTAGTAAATAAGGCCACAAAAGCCCTAATGGTATGCAGAAACATTGCAGGTATACGATGGGGATGCAACCCAAACATACTGCGATCGATGTATACTGCAATAGTGAGACCAATCATCACTTACGGGGCTATAGCCTGGAGTAACAGAACTAGTTTAGCTACTACGAGAGCTAATATCTCAAAAGTACAAAGACTAGCCTATGTTTGCATTACTGGTGCAATGAGAACCTGTCCTATGGAGGTGATCTTAAACCTCACCCCTCTACATTTGATGATAGAGAATGTGGCAAAAAGGACACGATATAGAATGATCAGGAACGGAGTAATCAGACGAAAGTCTACTTGCTTCAGGACTAAAGATACCTGGGACATGCCCCAGGATGAAATGCAAAAGAAGTACAGTTTTGTGAAAAACTTCAAAACCACAGAGCTGGGTTGCAAGAAAGAATGGAACCAAGAATCCATCGCACTTGCAACCGAAAGACTTGCTATTCAGTGGTATACGGACGGTTCCAAAACCATAGAAGGAACTGGAATAGGAGTGTATGGGCCGAAAACCAAGCACTCCGAAAGCTTGGGAAAATACCCAAGCATCTTCCAGGCGGAAATTCACGCCATCGAGAAGTGTATCCAGTTTAACATCGAGAGAAACTATCATAGACAAGAGATTGTCATCATGTCCGATAGTCAAGCAGCCATCAAAGCGCTGAGCTCTTACGTAATCAGCTCAAAAATGGTCTGGAGATGCCTAGAACAATTGAATGAGCTAGGCGAGAAAAATAGAGTTTCTCTCACTTGGGTCCCGGGACATAACGGGGTACAGGGTAACGAGATTGCAGATAGTCTTGCAAGGAAAGGGGCTCAAACACCCTTTGTAGGACCTGAGCCGTTCTGCGGTATCAGCAGTAACATAATATTAGGAGAGATTAAAAAAGAATTGGGCAGTAGAAGAACCGATAATTCGAACAATCTCTTAGGTCTGAGACAGGCCAAGATACTTTTGGGTGAATATAACAAAAAAAAACAGAAGCCTGCATCTGCCTGAGCAAGAACAGGCTACGTATTGTAACAGGGTTCCTTACTGGGCATTGCCGACTAAAAGGAACCTAAGTAAACTGAGAGTAGTAGAGGATAGTGAGTGCAGATTCTGTGAGGAGGAGGACGAAACCTCAATTCACATCCTAACTGAATGTGTAGCACTCCAGAATACAAGGGCACTATTTCTAGGAGGATATCAAATAGAAGAGTGAGATTTACCTAACTTGAAGCCACTTCAAATCCTACACTTCCTTGAGAAAATAGGATTGGAAGGGTCGCTATAGGCATTGAGACATTTCCTTAGTGCAGTGGCGACAGAAGGGGACACAATAGATCTTTTAGGTCGCAGTGTATTAACACCCCATTCTCAACATAACATAACCAGCGTTGGGTTTACTAGTACAATTGTACTAGATTCAATACATTTCAACCATTCATAAATGCTGGTACCACAAAAGATAAAAGTATCTAATTCTAGTACATTTTAAAAATGTTGCTGGATCTTTTTTAATAATACATTCTATGATTTCTAATTTCTATGTTAGACAGTAGATACTTCTGACACTCCCAATGCGATACTTTATACTAGAGATAAGGAACTATAAGGTATTTTTTCCGGCATAAACCAACATAAACATGTATTATAGATTATGTTATTTAGACGTCTATAGACGTATATAGATGTCCAAATAACATAATCTATCATAAACGTTCATGTTGGTTTATGCCGCGAAAACTACCTTTATGAGTCTTCTTATAAGGGACATAAAGATAAGATACGCTCATAAGAAGCACATGCTTAACAACGACCAGCTGAAACACAGTTAATATCTGACCCATCATCTGTCGCCATCATCGATATCAAATAAATAACGCTGCGGGAAATTTAAAAACCTGATAAATATCGATTGCACTTTGATGTTCCGGTAAATAAATTTAAACATTGTTTATTACGGTAAATTATTTATTAAAAAGAATACTACACTTACAGTCTATTATCGAGTAATTATTGTAAATCTATTGACAGCAAATATTTTTTTAATTTTTACATTTTTTTTATTTATCAATAGGTATAAAGATATATTTTTGTTACACCTATTTTATTTGTTTTTCTATTAAAAATAAGTTTTTATTTTTATTTTCAAATTTTATTATTTAACCATATAACGTTTACCATCGTAAACATATTTTTTTATTATACCTATTTTATTTGAAATTTACCGGCAAATCTAGTACGTTCTAGTACAATCACGATCTGAATTTCAGTACAAGCTGTTGCTACTAAAAACCCAACGCTGAACATAACATATATCGACAAGAAAGAAGCAGATATTACGTTTCACAGGTAAATGATAAACATTAATCGTTTTTACTTTATATATTTTCTTATATTTTTCATTTTATTTGGTGTTATACAACTTGGTATTTACATATTGTACATGCCTCACTCCAGAGTAATAAATTTTACACACCAAGTTTTTTTATTTTATGCTTTTTATTGATATTTACGCAATTAATGATATTAAAATGGCCAAACAAGTAATTTTTTCCAGTGGCGTGTCGTACAATTCTAAATATTAACTTTTATTAAATTCTAATTTACTTTTGATTTTTATTTAATTGCAGCAATGTTTATTTGTTGTTTTATTTTAGATTTCCTGTAGATTCAGCAAAAAAATATTTGGATTCAGGCAACGAAAATTGGAAATTGGATGCCTACGCCAAATGATAGATTGTGTTCAAAACATTTTGAAAGACTTTTTTTATGGGATGGACTGTAAAAAGACGTTTACTAAATGGAGCAGTTCCCATTATATTTCCTAAATTCCCTGAATACATGCAACTGAAGAAAGTACGTAAACTAATAAACATAATTAAACACATATGTTTTTTAATTACTTTTCATTTTGTTTTTTTTTTCTCCTGGGCTCGTCTGACTATGTCTCCGAATAACATTGAAGCCTATTGGCTTATTGTGTTTTACAACATGTTAGTTCATAGCACCCACTCTGTCACCTTTGTAGCTTGTACAAGTTTGTACAGATCCTTGGGTGAGTGGGTTCTATACGTTGTTGGATCAGCCTGGGGTTGTCCAAAAAGAGCCTGTCTTTTGCGATCTAGAGCTTCGCATTTTCACAGTATGTGTTTGGCCCATTATTATGTTATGCACTTTTAAGAATTTAGCAACCCTTTTGTGTATAATTCAAAACATTACCGTATAATAATTGTAGGACTTAAATAGAAGAGCATTGCATTTGGAAGCTGAGAGCTGAGTCAGGCCGTTTAAGTAGAACTGCCAATAAGGAATCTATCCTAGAAAGCTCTAGCATAAAACGGCTTAGAAGACAACTTTTACAAAAGATAGAAAAGAATAAAGAAAAACCAGACAAATCAAAGTTTTTAAACAAAAAGTTAAAAGATATTAGTATTATTTAAGGATCAGTAATAAATGTATCTTCATTTATGTATAATTTTTCTTACTAGCTTAATTTAATAATAGTATCAATCTTTATGAAAAACACTCATTTTATTATGTAAACGATTTCATTCAGTTTATTTCAATATTTTTTTTCTTATTTATTTTAAATTTTACGCTTTGAACTTGCTTTATACCTAAAAAAATCAATAAAGTACTAATAACATGAATACAAGTTCCTTTTTTATTTCTAACATGTTACGCCTTTGGTCGAATGTCATTGGTGTCAGAATGGAACAAGATTTTCAGCGGCGTTATGAGTCCTCTCTTTATTACCTAGTCTAAGGAATAACCTAACTATTACAGAAGCGAAGGATAGCTAATTTTTAGAGTCCAAAATTTTTTGCGCATGATCAGGTCCGCCATTTTATCTTAGACTATATAAAGTCAATTTAATTACGAGTATTGAAGCATCAAAAATAAAAGAATTGGTGGTTCTGTGATTAGCGTCTTGTCTTCCAAATGGAAGACAGGAGTTTTTTAATTATCTTTGAAAATACTGATGTAAGAGATATAAGTCGATAACTGCTTACCTCCATCTTATCATTCTTTTAATAAATCGGAATTATTGTTGAATTTTTAAATATAGTTGGATTGTCAAGTAACATCTGACACAAAACTAACATAGATCAGTGTTCACACGAATGAAACACAATGTGGTGGTTCTGATCTAGGACACCTCATTACTTATTATATTCAACCAGTACAATCTCAATTTTAAAGAGACCTAGTTATTTCGATACACGCCATTTTGATTAGAATCTTTAAAAATTGCACCATTTTACTTAATTTTAAATAACAGACCGAAAATTAAAGAAATAGTAACAATTAATTCGCTTTTAGTTTGAACAATTAGTCTTACCGGTCTGTCTTCTTCCAAAGTTGGAAGTAAGTCATCAGTGGAATGTGGACTAGGAGTAGGAGCAACACGTATCGTAGAGTTAGTACTAGATAGTTTAGAAAATCTTCGTTCCATTTCTCTTTCTTCCTTTTCTTTTCTTTCCCTTTCGTATCTCCTAGTACTATAGCTTCGGATTGAGCTGACGCTATGAACAGACGCTATACTAGGGCGTCGTGACCCTGCGAAAATATAGTATGAAAGCAACGTTGTACGGGGATTTTAAATATTGTGAATAATGATCGTTAAAAATTTAATTTAAAAAACGTTTTATTTAATATGTTATTATGTAAATAATATTGGGATATCTACTTACGCAGATTTAAAATAAATAAAATTAAATAAAATAGTTAATTGAAACAATAAAAATAAAAAATATAAAAAATATAAAAAATATAAAAAATATAAAAAATATAAAAATATAAAAAATATAAAAAATATAAAAAATATAAAAAATATAAAAAATATAAAAAATATAAAAAATATAAAAAATATAAAAAATATAAAAAATATAAAAAATATAAAAAATATAAAAAATATAAAAAATATAAAAAATATAAAAAATATAAAAAATATAAAAAATATAAAAAATATAAAAAATATAAAAAATATAAAAAATATAAAAAATATAAAAAATATAAAAAATATAAAAAATATAAAAAATATAAAAAATATGAAAAATATAAAAAATATAAAAAATATAAAAAATATAAAAAATATAAAAAATATAAAAAATATAAAAAATATAAAAAATACAATAAAATATAAAAAATATAAAAAATATAAAAAATATAAAAAATATAAAAAATATAAAAAATATAAAAAATATAAAAAATATAAAAAATATAAAAAATATAAAAAATATAAAAAATATAAAAAATATAAAAAATATAAAAAATATAAAAAATATAAAAAATATAAAAAATATAAAAAATATAAAAAATATAAAAAATATAAAAAATATAAAAAATATAAAAAATATAAAAAATATAAAAAATATAAAAAATATAAAAAATATAAAAAATAAAAAATATAAAAAATATAAAAAATATAAAAAATATAAAAAATATAAAAAATATAAAAAATATAAAAAATATAAAAAATATAAAAAATATAAAAAATATAAAAAATATAAAAAATATAAAAAATATAAAAAATATAAAAAATATAAAAAATATAAAAAATATAAAAAATATAAAAAATATAAAAAATATAAAAATATAAAAAATATAAAAAATATAAAAAATATAAAAAATATAAAAAATATAAAAAATATAAAAATATAAAAAATATAAAAAATATAAAAAATATAAAAAATATAAAAAATATAAAAAATATAAAAAATATAAAAAATATAAAAAATATAAAAATATAAAAAATATAAAAAATATAAAAAATATAAAAAATATAAAAATATAAAAAATATAAAAATATAAAAAATATAAAAAATATAAAAAAATATAAAAAATATAAAAAATATAAAAAATATAAAAAATATAAAAAATATAAAAAATATAAAAAATATAAAAAATATAAAAAATATAAAAAATATAAAAAATATAAAAAATATAAAAAATATAAAAAATATAAAAAATATAAAAAATATAAAAATATAAAAAATTATAAAAAAATTAAAAAATATAAAAAATATAAAAAATATAAAAATATAAAAAATATAAAAAATATAAAAAATATAAAAAATATAAAAAATATAAAAAATATAAAAATATAAAAATATAAAAAATATAAAAAATATAAAAAATATAAAAAATATAAAAAATATAAAAAATATAAAAAATATAAAAAATATAAAAAAATATAAAAAATATAAAAAATATAAAAAATATAAAAAATATAAAAAATATAAAAAATATAAAAAATATAAAAAATATAAAAAATATAAAAAATATAAAAAAATATAAAAAATATAAAAAATATAAAAAATATAAAAAATATAAAAATATAAAAATATAAAAAATATAAAAAATATAAAAAATATAAAAATATAAAAAATATAAAAAAATATAAAAAATATAAAAAATATAAAAAATATAAAAAATATAAAAATATAAAAAATATAAAAAATATAAAAAATATAAAAAATATAAAAATATAAAAAATATAAAAATATAAAAAATATAAAAAATATAAAAAATATAAAAAATATAAAAAATATAAAAAATATAAAAATATAAAAAATATAAAAAATATAAAAAATATAAAAATATAAAAAATATAAAAAATATAAAAAATATAAAAAATATAAAAAATATCAAAAATATCAAAAATATAAAAAATATAAAAAATATAAAAAATATAAAAAATATAAAAAATATAAAAAATATAAAAAATATAAAAATATAAAAATATAAAAAATATAAAAAATATAAAAAATATAAAAAATATAAAAAATATAAAAAATATAAAAAATATAAAAAATATAAAAAATATAAAAAATATAAAAATATAAGAAAATATAAGAAATATAAAAATATAAAAAATATAAAAAATATAAAAAATATAAAAAATATAAAAAATATAAAAAATATAAAAAATATAAAAATATAAAAAATATAAAAAATATAAAAAATATAAAAAATATAAAAAATATAAAAAATATAAAAAAATATAAAAATATAAAAAATATAAAAAATATAAAAAAATATAAAAAATATAAAAAATATAAAAAATATAAAAAATATAAAAAATATAAAAAATATAAAAAATATAAAAAATATAAAAAATATAAAAAATATAAAAAATATAAAAAATATAAAAAATATAAAAAATATAAAAAATATAAAAATATAAAAAATATAAAAAATATAAAAAATATAAAAAATATAAAAAATATAAAAAATATAAAAAATATAAAAATATAAAAAATATAAAAAATATAAAAAAATATAAAAAATATAAAAAATATAAAAATATAAAAATATAAAAAATATAAAAAATATAAAAAATATAAAAAATATAAAAAATATAAAAAATATTAAAAAATATTAAAAATATTAAAAATATAAAAATATAAAAAATTATTCTCGACAATTTTTGTTTTTCGTAAAAAAATTTTGTTGAATCTTCTCCCATCTAAAATTTTTGTAACTTCAAAATATTTTTTCTAATTTTGTTTAAAATTTGACTAAATTTGTGTTTTGGCTAAACATTACTGACATTTAGAAAACCAATATTATTTTCCCTTATGTTGCATATGAATCTTTCATTGACAATTAGAACCACAATTAAAACATCATTATTAATTACAGTTTCATAATGTTTAGCATTATGCAACTGGTTGCGTATAGTAGATCATTCTGCCACTTGCTGCGATTACAAAAAATGTCACTTTATTTGTCAAAATTAGAATAAATGTTTTATATTTAATTCGCGTTTGAAATAATTTGTGATAAAAATCTTTTTTTTTTCATTTTAGAAACAAAAATTTAAAGTTTTGCCCACTAAAAAATGAAACAATAAAAAGATTTTTCATGTTTGTGTTGGTAAATAAAATAAAAAAATAAAAAATATAATATAGGTATAAAAATATTAAAAACATAAAAATTTTACTTCTTCAAGGTACAGAGTACGTTTTTAATTATTACAAACTACTAGTACAAAAGCGATTTCAGGAAATAATATTTAATTTTTTAACGATCATCGATTTATGTTTAAAAGTAGAATTATTACACAAAAAAAAGCATGCAATCATGCTAATAAAACAAACGAAAAATTATCAAATTAGGTAAATTTTAATTCAATGTTTTATGCAGTTACTTTTTCATTTGTTTAATTATTGTAATTTTAAATTAACATGCAATGAGTGTAGTGCGGTAGTTTTTAGTTATATATTAACTTTAAATTGATTTGAAACAATTGTTACACTTATTACTACGTGAATCTGTATTTGTGGAACCCTATAGCCAAATTAAAAGAACTAATCATCCAATCACTTATACAGTTTGTCCGCAAAAAATACTTATTGGAACAAACTGTACAATATTGAGCTGAATTAGAAATTTATAGTTTACGCATTAAGTTTTTTAATAAAAATGATCCCGTTTTTCTCGTGGAATATTTTTATTGAAAACAACTGCATTTTTGGTGAGTATACTATACTGATCTAACAAAATGCACTGATTAAAGATAGTAAAAAAAAACTATTAAAGCCGTTTTCACCTCTGCCATCTTGCATTGTTCTCCAAGCTGCTGTTTATTTTTTGTTGGTACTTCCTATAGAGGAGTAGAACACTTAGATAGGTACTAACCTTTAATAGGCCTAGAATTTCTGCTTTTAATTTTAGGAAAATTAATAAACGATTAATATTTTTTTTTTTAAAACTTTATTTACTAATCGCAAATTAAAAATTCTTTGGAAAGAATTATTTATTTATTTCGTTTTTGTTGTATAATGCAAAAATCTATCCTAACATTGAACAAAAGTTTTAAAAATCTGAAAAGAACGATATAAAAAGTAATTTTTTCCTGATTTTAGTAAAAAATACTGGGAAAAATAAGTAGCAATACCTTTTGTACGATATAATATTTTTCTTACAAAATAATTAGTTATACTTTGGGTCAGAAATAATTTTCTTCTTTCACTATTAAATATCCGTTTTATTAATATATCTATGTATAATTAAGAGTCCAAAGCGAAAACCCGATAATTAATAAAATTTATTATTGTTACTTTATTTTTTTTGTCCGCATTAATGTAGAGTAAATATTTATGTTGATTAAACGGTTTGCTTCTATTTTTTTTTAATTTGACATTTGCTTTAGTTAAACCGAAATTTTTAAAACTATAAATATGCAGGAGTAGTGGTAAATATCATTTATAGCAAAACAACGCATGACCTAAAATTATTCGAAACTCATATGCATTATTTTCAGTAAGTTTAGACACATCATTTTATTTTTTTATCACAATTATTATAGTTTAAAGACCTGTTTTTTTTTCTAAATTGTTTCATTGTATGAACACATTTATATAGTTTCTTTCAAGCTCCTGTACGTTAAATTACATTTTCAAATTGTTGTTTAATAGAAATAAAAAACTTAAAAAAACACAAAAATAATCGTTCTCTTTAGACTTTTTTAAACAATCAGCTTATTAACGTATAATTAAAATACCGGCAAATTTGGTATCTACGTATCGAGCGCCTTGCTCTACGGTCGGGGCAACGTTACAGTAGGAGAGCAGCAAGATGGCGGCGGCACGGGCCGCACCTGCTCGTGAATAAACGCCGACACCGGCCCCGGTACGGAACCCTGGGGCGCTACTGGACCGCCGCGACGGCATGCTAGCATACGTGCGCTGGCTAGAGGCACGGGACGTCGAACTGCGTTCGAGGATGGGCAATGGTAACGATCCTGAAAACCATTTCACCCATTTTTTTTTTATTTCCATATTAGATTCTAAATGAATATTTGTTTTGATTTTCTTGGGTTGTAGCTGTTTTTTTTTTTAATTTGAAATAAAACTACAGTTTAAACTCAATCTGTAAAGCTTGTGATATGATAATTCAAAGATTTAAAACACCCTTTAGAAAATTGCGGTATTTTTGTTTTATTTTTTAAATTCTTACATATGTTACTTGTTTAAAAATCTGATGTGTCCAACACATGACTTTCCTATCTAGTTATATAAATGTTTAGAGGATAAAATAAATATATACATTGTCCACATATATCTACCTCGAAACATTTTTCTATAGATATTCATGGAAAACGAAAATACTGAAAAATTTTAATTTCCTACAATTTTTTCATTACGGTCCATTTTAGAAAAATCATGTATAAACATAAATTATAGAGATCGATATCGCAAACAACTTTTATTTCAAAAACTTTCATAATAAAAATCAGAATTTTGCACATTTTGTCAAATTTCTCGAATACGGGGAAATTTTTACATAAAACAAAAATTACAGATAATAATATTAGAAGTAACTTTTATTTGAACAATTTTCCTCTCCAAACATAAATAACAGATATATTCCATAAAATATAAAAACGGCCTCCCATAAAGTACCCCCCCAGATGTTCCGACTTTGTCCAAAATCTAATCATTTCACGTCAGGCCGAAATAAACCTTAAGTTTAAAATTTAATGTTTTTTTCTTTATCCGTTTTTGAGTTTTCTTCAAAATTCGAAATTTACACATTTTCTCAAATATCTCGAATACGGTCCATTTTAGAGAAATTATGTAGAGAATAAAAATTATAGAGAATTATATTACAAACAACTTTTATTTGAACAATTTTTATAAAAAAATATTTTTTTTTACATTTTGTCAAATTTCTCGAATACGGACCATTTTAGGAAAATTTTGTATAGAAAAATAATTATAGATAATAATATTAGAAGTAACTTTTATTTAAAGAATTTTCTTCTCCAAACGTAAATAACAGATATATTCCATAAAATATAAAAATGACCACCTATAAAGTACCCCCCCAAATGTTCCGACTCTGCCCAAAATCTAATCAGCTCATTAGACGCTGAAACAAAGCTTAAGTTTAAAATTTGGTGTTTTTCTGTGTATCGGTTCATGAGTTATGCGTTATACAGACACACACACACACAGACACACAGACACACAGACACACACACACACACACACACACACACACACACACACACACACACACACACACACACACACACAGACATCATCGCGAAAATAGTCAAAACGGATTCAGGGGACCTCAAAACGTAAAAATCCGTCGAAAACTCGAGGTCGAAAAAAATCATGATTCCTATACTTTCCTTATATCTGTATACAGATAGGAAAGTAAAAATCTGATGTGTCCAACACATGACTTTCCTATCTAGTTATTATAGGCATTTTCCGGTTATTTTGTACAACCTATTGCAGCATCTCTATAAATGTTTAGAGGATAAACTAAATATATACATTTTACACATACATCTACCTCGAAACATTTTTCTATAGATATTCATTGAAAACGAAAATACAGAAAAATTTAAATTTAGCACTTTTCCATTACGGTCCATTTTAGAAAAATCATGTATAAACAAAAATTATAGAAATCGATATCGCAAACAACTTTTAGTTCAACAATTTTCATAAAAATCAGAATTTTGCACATTTTGTCAAATTTCTCGAATACGGACCATTTCAGGAAATTTTGACATAAAGCAAAAATTATAGATAATAATATTAGAAGTAACTTTTATTTGAACAATTTTCCTCTCCAAACATAAATAACAGATATATTCCATAAAATATAAAAACGGCCTCCCATAAAGTACCCCCCCCCCCAGATGTTCCGACTTTGTCCAAAATCTAATCATTTCATGTCAGGCCGAAATAAACCTTAAGTTTAAAATTTAATGTTTTTTCCTTTATCCGTTTTTGAGTTTTTTTCAAATTTCGAAATTTACACATTTTCTCAAATATCTCGAATACGGTCCATTTTAGAGAAATTATGTATAGGACAAAAATTATAGAGAATTATATAATAAACAACTTTTATTTGAACAATTTTTATAAAAATCTGATGTGTCCAACACATGACTTTCCTATCTAGGTATTACAGGCTTTTTCCGGTTATTTTGTACAACGTATTGCAGCATCTCTATAAATGTTTAGAGGATAAACTAAATATATACATTGTCCACATACATCTACCGCGAAACATTTAAATTTGGCACTTTTCCTACAATTTTTCCATTACGGTCCATTTTAAAAAAATCATGTATAAACAAATATTATAGAGATCGATATCGCAAACAACTTTTATTTCAACAATTTTCATAAAAATCAGAATTTTGCACATTTTGTCAAATTTTTCGAATACGGACCATTTCAGGAAATTTTTACATAAAGCAAAAATTATAGATAATAATATTAGAAGTAACTTTTATTTGAACAATTTTTTTCTTCAAACATAAATAACAGATATATTCCATAAAATATATAAACGGCCTCCCATAAAGTACCCCCCCAGATGTTCCGACTTTGTCCAAAATCTAATCATTTCACGTCAGGCCGAAATAAAACTTAAGTTTAAAATTTAATGTTTTTTTCTTTATCCATTTTTGAGTTTTCTTCAAATTTCGAAATTTACACATTTTCTCAAATATCTCGAATACGGTCCATTTTAGAGAAATTATGTATAGGACAAAAATTATAGAGAATTATATTACAAACAACTTTTATTTGAACAATTTTTATAAAAAAATATTTTTTTTTACATTTTGTCAAATTTCTCGAATACGGACCATTTTAGGAAAATTTTGTATAGAAAAATAATTATAGATAATAATATTAGAAGTAACTTTTATTTAAAGAATTTTCTTCTCCAAACGTAAATAACAGATATATTCCATAAAATATAAAAATGACCACCTATAAAGTACCCCCCCAAATGTTCCGACTCTGCCCAAAATCTAATCAGCTCATTAGACGCTGAAACAAAGCTTAAGTTTAAAATTTGGTGTTTTTCTGTGTATCGGTTCATGAGTTATGCGTTATACAGACACACACACACACAGACACACAGACACACAGACACACACACACACACACACACACACACACACACACACACACACACACACACACACACACACACACACAGACATCATCGCGAAAATAGTCAAAACGGATTCAGGGGACCTCAAAACGTAAAAATCCGTCGAAAACTCGAGGTCGAAAAAAATCATGATTCCTATACTTTCCTTATATCTGTATACAGATAGGAAAGTAAAAATCTGATGTGTCCAACACATGACTTTCCTATCTAGTTATTATAGGCATTTTCCGGTTATTTTGTACAACCTATTGCAGCATCTCTATAAATGTTTAGAGGATAAACTAAATATATACATTTTACACATACATCTACCTCGAAACATTTTTCTATAGATATTCATTGAAAACGAAAATACAGAAAAATTTAAATTTAGCACTTTTCCATTACGGTCCATTTTAGAAAAATCATGTATAAACAAAAATTATAGAAATCGATATCGCAAACAACTTTTAGTTCAACAATTTTCATAAAAATCAGAATTTTGCACATTTTGTCAAATTTCTCGAATACGGACCATTTCAGGAAATTTTGACATAAAGCAAAAATTATAGATAATAATATTAGAAGTAACTTTTATTTGAACAATTTTCCTCTCCAAACATAAATAACAGATATATTCCATAAAATATAAAAACGGCCTCCCATAAAGTACCCCCCCCCCCAGATGTTCCGACTTTGTCCAAAATCTAATCATTTCATGTCAGGCCGAAATAAACCTTAAGTTTAAAATTTAATGTTTTTTCCTTTATCCGTTTTTGAGTTTTTTTCAAATTTCGAAATTTACACATTTTCTCAAATATCTCGAATACGGTCCATTTTAGAGAAATTATGTATAGGACAAAAATTATAGAGAATTATATAATAAACAACTTTTATTTGAACAATTTTTATAAAAATCTGATGTGTCCAACACATGACTTTCCTATCTAGGTATTACAGGCTTTTTCCGGTTATTTTGTACAACGTATTGCAGCATCTCTATAAATGTTTAGAGGATAAACTAAATATATACATTGTCCACATACATCTACCGCGAAACATTTAAATTTGGCACTTTTCCTACAATTTTTCCATTACGGTCCATTTTAAAAAAATCATGTATAAACAAATATTATAGAGATCGATATCGCAAACAACTTTTATTTCAACAATTTTCATAAAAATCAGAATTTTGCACATTTTGTCAAATTTTTCGAATACGGACCATTTCAGGAAATTTTTACATAAAGCAAAAATTATAGATAATAATATTAGAAGTAACTTTTATTTGAACAATTTTTTTCTTCAAACATAAATAACAGATATATTCCATAAAATATATAAACGGCCTCCCATAAAGTACCCCCCCAGATGTTCCGACTTTGTCCAAAATCTAATCATTTCACGTCAGGCCGAAATAAAACTTAAGTTTAAAATTTAATGTTTTTTTCTTTATCCATTTTTGAGTTTTCTTCAAATTTCGAAATTTACACATTTTCTCAAATATCTCGAATACGGTCCATTTTAGAGAAATTATCTATAGGATAAAAATTATAGAGAATTATATTACAAACAACTTTTGTTTGAACAATTTTTATAAAAAAAAATATTTTTTTACATTTTGTCAAATTTCTCGAATACGGACCATTTTAGGAAAATTTTGTATATAACAAAAATTATAGATAATAAAATAAGAAGTAACTTTCATTTGAAGAATTTTCTTCCCCAAACGTAAATAACAGATATATTCCATAAAATATAAAAATGACCACCTATAAAGTACCCCCCCAGATGTTCCGACTCTGCCCAAAATCTAATCAGCTCATTAGACGTTGGAACAAAGCTTAAGTTTGAAATTTGGTGTTTTTCCGTGTATTGGTTCATGAGTTATGCGTTATACAGACACACACACACACACACAGAGACACACACACACAGACACACACACACACACAGACACACACACACACACACACACACACACACACACACACACACACACACACACACACACACACACACACACAGACATCATCGCGAAAATAGTCAAAACGGATTCCGGGGACCTCAAAACGTAAAAATCCGTCGAAAACTCGAGGTCGAAAAAAATCATGATTCCTATACTTTCCTTATATCTGTACACAGATAGGAAAGTAAAAAATTATGTTTTTTACATTTTGTCAAATTTCTCGAATACGGACCATTTTAGGAAAATTTTGCATAAAACAAAAATTATAGATAATTATATTAGAAGTAACTTTTATTTGAAGAATTTTCTTCTCCAAACGTAAATAACAGATATATTCCATAAAATATAAAAATGACCACCTATAAAGTACCCCCCCAGATGTTCCGACACTGCCCAAAATCTAATCAGCTCATTGGACGCTGAAACAAAGCTTAAGTTTAAAATTTGGTGTTTTTCTGTGTATCGGTTCATGAGTTATGCGTTATACAGACACACACACACACAGACACACACACACACACAGACACACACACACACACACACACACACACACACACACACACACACACACACACACACACACACACACACACACACAGACATCATCGCGAAAATAGTCAAAACGGATTCAGGGGACCTCAAAACGTAAAAATCCGTCGAAAACTCGAGGTCGAAAAAAATCATGATTCCTATACTTTCCTTATATCTGTATACAGATAGGAAAGTAAAAAGGGAATGAAAATATTACCTATTTATTTTGAAATTGCTATCATTTTCGGTAAAACCAGAAGAAACCAAAAAGGCTTGAAAAAACTTATACAAATTAAAAGAAGACTGGTCAAAGCCACATTTCATAATACTTACTAATTTAAAAGTTTTATATGTTTAAAAAGGGTTAAAATATAAATTCGGCTTAAATTTTTCTAGGGCCTTGTGCAAAACTATAAAGGGCAACAGAAAAAAATTTTTATATGAAGCGAGAATAAGAGCGACAAATCAGAATAAGAATTGACGAAAGAACGGGTAATGATAGAAACGCAAGTCTGTGCTGAAGTTACACTGTCTTCAAGTAGACAAGTTGCCGCTGAAGTTGGATTGAAAAAGACGGGTACAAAATATTTTAAGAAGAAATGGATATTCTTGTTTTAACGTACATACTATGCAAGAAATTTTTCCTGACGACCATTTTAAACGGATGGAGTTTTGCCAGATAATGATGGAAAGAACAAATCAAAATATTATTTTTTTGAAATATATTTTATTTACAGATGAGTCTTTTTTCACTCTCCCCAAAGAATATAATCCATCCATCCAACTGAATGTCTGAGCAGGAATCCTGTTCTAAGTTGTTAATACCAGGGAGATATTTGGTTATTTGGTTTTAGTTGTTTTATGTTAACGACTGGTGTTTGGTTGTGTTATGACGTCACTGACATTATTACATGTTTTGAGTAAAAAACCGATGTTTCATTTGAAAGAAAATATTAGAAGGTACCTACACGCAGGCCAACCCCACAAAATTTTTATATTTTTTATGAATTATTTTTTAATATTTAGTGGAAGTTTTAGAGATTCAGAGATAGGTATGTTAGTTGACTCTCAAGTCTGAAAATTTAATTGTCTTTAATACCGCCAAAAGTAAAACAGTTGCAGATATAGTTTCATTAAGTTTATTGCCAGAAAAAACAAGAAAATTGGGTAAAGGAAAATAAAATCTTTTTTGAAATATTGTTATAAAATAGTAGTTAGTATTTTTGGGTTAGTTCATAATTCTGTATGACACTCTAGTAAAAATAGTATAAGTACTATAAAATTTATTATAATTAGTTATAAGTTGAATATTAATGTTGTTTTCAAATATACTCGTATTATAAAACATGTTAAAAATGTTTCATAAATATTGGACTCTATAAAAGTACCCCATGATTATAAATATCTAAACAACCGTGTAAAAAGTATTGTATTCTATTCGCATATAATGGCTATTGGCTATTATTCATGTTTCAGAATAATAGTCAATATTATATGTTTGTTGAATAATACACTATTAATTAATAATCCCATATCTGCACAATTATATTATGCCCAAAATTTAATTTGATTTTTCCTTTCTTATAATTCCTTCAGACTTTTGCTTCAACCTACATGTAAATGAATTTCGGACAACACGAATGCAACTATATATACATAGGTAGTAAAAAGATATCTTACCCGGATCACTGGAAAATAAAATCGGAGGTGGTAAATTTGCGTTTCCAAACCTATGTCTATTATGACGTGTTCCATACATGTTCTGATTAAAAAGGTGCAACACGAAACATATGAGCCCAGATAAAATGGCGATACCAGACATTACCCCAGCGAAAGTAGAAAAATTTGATGTTATGACGACAACATCTGCAAATATAAATTGAAAAATCATTAATAAAGCTGTCAAAATAACCAGTTTTGACAGATCATAGATTACATTCTCAAGCTCCGTGATAGTTTATCAATTTTAATAAACTGACTGTAGGAATACAACATTTTCTGCCTCTACCTGATGTGCCCCAAATAAATAATTATATTCATACCTTCGGCACAAAATGTCCTTTTCGAAGGTTTCTGAAGAGATACGGCATGGTAGCCATTTTCACATTGGCAAACTGCATTATGGTGAACTTGGATACAGGAGGAATGCTGGTCCGTATACTGGCAAGTTTCTTTGTAGTAACATTGGTCGCCCAGACGTTTGGCTACAACAAAATTTTGGATGAATTTTCTGGTCACTGTGTTTTAATGCATTAAAATTTGTAGAAATGGATACTGCCAAAAGATGACGCTAGTGAATTTGGATACAAGTTAGTGAATTTAAAAGAAATGATGGAAATGAATCGATTCGCTTTTAAATTTTAAGAATTAGTGTTTAAATTATCTATTTATTTGTTTGTTTAAGAATTAATGTTTCTGTTTTGTTTATTTTAAATAAACATATATGTATATCAAATGTATTTTTTTAGTCTAATTAAAATATTACAGTGTAATATCGCATTTATTTTGCTTTGTTATTCCAGAAATATTTTAGAAACGTTTCTACAACGTTTCATAATATTTATGAAACAAAACTAGAGTAAATGTAAAATTCTTATTTCAGAAATATTACTGTGAAATATTTAATTTACGGAAAATTTTTACATTTCTAGCACATTTCAAAATTGTCTCGTAATATTTATACATTACAAATATTTCAATGTAACATTTTTGAAATATTTTCGAAATGTCTTTTTGCTATATGGAATGTATTTCATTCTTTGTTTATTGCTCCCAAATTGTGCTTTTGTTTACGGGTAGTAGTGTATATTAGTTGTGTTTATTCATTGTTAAAGTCCAGTAACTGAAGACCTGTAAATATGCAAAGCTGTCATTAAGTCGGTCCAGATTTCCTTTGTGGCTCAATTCTTAGGTCTTGACGGTTGCTTTCAAGAGCGAAAACTTTTAGCAACTCTGCTGCGTCGGAAAGGGCCCAAAATGGGGGAATGGGACGTTTCGGCGTGGCCGTTTTGGCGTGGCCGTTTGGACGTCGGCCATTTCGACGTTGGCCATTTCGGCGTTGGAAGTTTTGGCAAACTTAACAATATAATTTTTATAAACTTTAAATAATTGTTATATTTATTATAATTAGGTTTAATATAATAAATAATAGAACTGTTTTCGTGTCGAAAGGAAGACTAAAATAAAATGTCTATATACTATTACTGTTCGGCAGGTAGGTCTTCCGCTAGAACATCAAAGGCATAATCTAAATGATCGAAGGAACAAATGCCCAAGTGAAAAAAACAACCATTTATAGTAACACCTGTTCGAAATCGCAATATATTATTCTGGGTTGCAAATTTGGAACAATTTCTTTACTTCACTATTATTATACTAATGTTCATATAAAATATTAATTACACTAATATTAATTACACTACTATTATAATTCTGATAGGTAATTGAAAAACAGATTAAAACATTTATCCCATTCCTATGCAATACCTTACTTATTTCAATACTTTACTTATTTCATAATAAAACTTACAGCGGTTTTAACATACATACTAAAAAATAGTATTCCCGACGCCGAAACGGCGAAATAGCCTGACGTCCAAATGGCCACGCCAAAATGACCACGCCAAAATGGCCACGCCGAAACGGCCACGTCCAAATGTCCTAAACCCCCAAAATGGACCCTAAAACTGGTTTCCCGCCAATATCTTCCACAATATGCAAATTAGAGAATTTTTGTTTAGATAAAAAAGAAAGATCTTATCATTATCTACAAAAATGGTCCCTATCATTTTTGTCGGGAATTCGACAGGTTTCGAGATAACCGCAATCAAAAGTCCCCTCGTTCAGCCCCTGCTTTATCTCTATAGCAATGCTGATTAGCTTGTAAACGGGTGGACAAATTGTTTCAGAACTCGGTCAAAAATTGATATTTTTCGATGATTCAAAGTTCGTTACAATGGGAAAACCCATAGCTATCGATCCATGTGCCTTGAAGCCCGTTATTTTCTGTTAACAACTTTGAAAAAGGGGTCAAAATTGCGTTTTACCACTATTTTGGAACACTTTATAGTCATTCAATCATATTTTTTTCTTTTAATAGTTTTTTATCCTATTTTTGTTTTAAGTGGGATCTTGAGATGTCTCGAATGATCTCAGAAATTTTTTTCCAGTATCTTCCTGGCGTTTTAAAACAAAATTGATTTGTTTATTTGCATTTTTCATACGTTTTCGGAGTTCTAGAAATCTCTGAAACAAGCAGTAATTAAAAACTCATATTTCATTATATTGTTGTTCAATGCACACCATTTTAAAAAAATACATTCGAAAAGTAGACACTCTAAGCTTTTAAATGGTGTGCATTGAATAACAATATAATTAAATATGAGTTTTTAATTACTGCTTGTTTCAGAGATTTCTAGAACTCCGAAAACGTATGAAAAATGAAAATAAACAAATCAATTGTGTTTTAAAACGCCCGGAAGATACTGGAAAAAAATTTCTGAGATCATTCGAGATATCTCAAGATCCCACTTAAAACAAAAATAGGATAAAAAACTATTAAAAGAAAAAAAAATAAGAATGAATTACTATAAAGCGGTCCAAAATAGTGAGAAAACGCAACTTTGACCCCCTTTTCAATGTTCTTGACAGAAAATAACGGGCTTCAAGGCACATGAGTCGATAGCTATGGGTTTTCCCATTGTAATGAACTTTGAATCATCGAAAAATATCAATTTTTGACCGAGTTCTGAAACAATTTGTCCGCCCGTTTACAAGATAATCAGCATTGCTATAGAGATAAAGCAGGGGCTGAAAATGATAAGAACCATTTTTGTAGATAATGATAAGATCTTTCTGTTTTATCTAAACAAAAATTCTCTAATTTGCATATTGTGGAAGATATTGGCGGGAAATCAGTTTTAAGGTCCATTTTGGGCCCTTTCCGATGCAGCAGAGTTGGTAAAAGTTTTCGACCTTGGAAGCGACCGCCGAGACCTAAGAGTTGAGCCACAACGGAAATCTGGACCGACTTAATGACAGGTTGGTCCCTTCGGTTACTGAACTATTATTGGATTGTTTTATTGTAAATATGCGCATTATACAGTGTGATTTTTTAAATTAATTTATTTAACGTCGACCTATTTCTAACTACGAGGTTTAAACACCGACGCTGGTGTGCACGCCTTCCCCAATTACCAGAAACTTAGCCGAATCCCTTGGTATTCCAACCATCTTTAGCGAGCCCAACATCCATGGACTCGGGACCGACGGCTTTATATTTTTTTTCGGGTCTGGGGATCAGACCATGTTTTTGATATGTTTTTGGGGCCGCTAAATTTGACTCCGGGCCCGTTTGCAGATATTTTTTTCTTAACCATCCTTCCGAGTCCTACCGCTTGCCGAGTCCCTTACGTATTGCGTTTGCGCGTTTGAAATAATTATATACTTCAGAAGCAACTTTTATGATGATTTTGTTTCGTACAGAATTAAACAATTTTATTTTCAAATTTTTAGGTTTATGTAAAATTTACTTTGAAACCTCCAATATTGAGGTGTTCAGTAGGTATTTTACTTTTTTTTTAGTATGGTTAACAAATTTCTTTTTTTCGCTGCTTTCTACTGTCTACAAATTTAGATTTATTAAATTACTAGTACCTAAATGAATGAATCAAGAAATATATTTTGGCTCCGGTAAGCTTTAGGTACCTAACTATGTTGAAATTTGGAAAAAAACATTGATTACACTAAAACGTACCCATTACATAATGTAGATATATTTCTAAAAAAAAAATACTGATAAGAAATTTTTTATTAAAGTTACAATTTTATAGGCATTTTGTCTTAGGTCGGTAGGTATATCGACAATTTTGGTTTCACAATTAAAGAATGGGTATACATATTTTATTTTGTAAATAACTGAAATTTTTTCATAAATAAATAATATTTTGATATACTTTTTTTTTTCTTTGTCATATTTTTAAATAATTCTACTATTTAAGAAAATTTCATTCTTGTTTATATTTACATATTTTATCCAGTTAGGTACTGTAACTTTGCAAAACTGTAAGAAAATTATAAAATGTTAGATTAGGAACATCACAATTTTGCATTTTTTCTTAGAAAATATTCGGTTATCAGCATTTTTTTTTATAAATGTCTATAGAATGGGTACTTTTTAATGTTCCGCTGTACCTATAAAGCTACATTTTTTACTTAAAAGTACTGTACGTACCTATAGCTTACAAAAGGGAGAAACAAAGATACTTTTTGTTTTTAGTATTTATTTCTTTACCATTCTATATCGTATTCTACTTATATAAATACATGTTTTAAAATAAACTAGCTTGAACACAGACATTATACTGCCTCAGTGTCTAATTTATTCTCTATTTGTAGGTACTACTATTTCATTTGAATAATAATTTAACTTTGTATTTATATTTTTCTTAAACAATATTATTATATCATCTTTCTGCATTTTTAACATAACCTAGTTCCAACTGGAACGATGTACAATAATAATAAGAAATATGAAAATATACAATATGATCACTAGCAATTAAATCAAAGATATGTACGCGCAAACGCAGCAAGTGAGGACTCGGCAAGCAGTAGGACTCGGGAGGATGGTTAAGAAAAAAATATCTGCGGCCCGTTTAACCCCGTCACATCAGTGTTTTGCTATAACCTCAAAAAATAAAATAATTGAGGCTTTTCAGTACTTTTTAATGTATATAAACCTGTACCTCAAACTTTAAACACAAAAGCCACGCTGTTTACTTCAAGCCCCATAACCCTATAACACCATAAACTCATAACCCCCTAATGAAATAACCTTATAACCTTAAAAAAACGCCATATTTAAGACTTTTCAGCCCTATTGAACGCATGTTACATTGAGACTCAAATTGTCGATAAACTTTATCTCGCGGACAGTTGTTCTACTTTCCAAACAGTCCAATTTTTTTTGGGTTTTTTGGGGTTATGGCAAAACACTGACTTGATAAGGTTAATCGAACGCCGGATTCGAATTCAGAGACCCCAAAAACAAAGAAAATATGGTCTAATTCCCAGACCGAAAAAATGTTTTTGTGTGGCTGTAAATTATAGCGTTTTTTAAAGTAATGTGGCTGTTGCATTATGGGGTTATGAGTTTATGGGGTGGTTAAGGATTTAGAGTTAGCTGCTTGGCTTTGGTGTTTAA